GTATAGTTATAAATGGGAGAGTTGTTAAACAAAAGGAAAAAATAGAAGAATCAGCTCTGAATAAATGATGTAATGACAGCATTTAATCAACACCTTACAATAATAACTCTTGATGTCAATGGCCTCAGCTCAATCAAAAATCATAGACCAGGCGATTAGATTAAAACGTAACCCTAGGGCCCAGGGAAAGCCTGGAAAGCATGAGGTCATGTGTTCGATCCCCGTACCCTCAAAAAATAAAATAAAATAAATTTTAAAAAATAAAACGTAACCATATATCGCCTACGAAGTACATAGACTTAAAATGAAAACATAGGAAATAATATTCTATTCAAACAGAGCCTGAAAACAAGCAGGAGTAGCTATCTTACCTTCAGATACAGCAGTCTAAAACTGCTCAAAAGCTCAAAAGAGACAAAGATGACTACTACATACTGCCACAGAGCATAATTCAACAGGAAGAGGTAACAATTACACACGTATATATATATAAACAGATAGACAGATAGATAGATATACATATAAATATATGTGAACTGAAAGTTGGTGCACCTAACTCCATAAAACAGAAACCACTCGATATGACAGACAGACAGATATCAATAAAATCCTAGCAGGGTTGTGTCTTTTCACTCTCCCACTCACAAATATTCAGGTAACCCAGACCAAAAAAAAAAATCAGTGAAAAGTGGTAAGAGTTAAACTCTGCCATTGAACAAGTGGACTTGCCAGATATCTAACAGAATACTCATTTTTCTGAACCACACATAAAACTTTATCCAAAATAGACTATATCTTAGGCCATAAAGCATGCTTACATAAAAGCAAAAGAAATTAAATAATCCCCAGAGAAAGCCAAAGTATACACAAACACATGGAGATTAAATGATACAGAGTCTGTCAAAAAATGTATACAGACTTCAGGAAAAGAAAAACAGTACGATGCTTTTTCAACAGCTGATATTACACTCATATGGGGACCGTGGAGAATGCTTTACATTTCAAAAAAAACCCCACTACACTGCCAGCCCTTGGAGGAGAAATTGAAAATGCATATGCAGCAATCTCAGTGACCAGAGTCACTAAGGCAGCAGTACTAATAAATGTTTGGAAGCCAATAGGCACCCGCTTGAGCATCTCTTGTAATTGTAAGGCCTGTATTAAGCTCATTATGTCTCAGTAAATTTATTATTAAGATATTTATATGTCTATCTTTTCCTGAAATGTGTATACGTTTGTTGGGCAGACTCTGTATGTTATTTAATAATTAGTGAATCACAGGGAAAATCAGGGAAGACTAAAAATGCTCCTAGAATTAAATGACAGTGAAAGCACAACATAACAAAACATGGTCCACAATGAAAGCAGTTCTAAGAGGGCCAATTACAGCTGTACATGCACAAAAAGCATGTAGTGATCCCAAATGGGAAAATCTAATCACGTATTGCAAGGTCCTAGAAAAACAAGAACAATCTAAACCTGAAACTCATTGAGGGAAAGAACTTATATTTTCATTCATTTTTTTATTTTAATCTGAGACAGGGTCTCTCTAGATTGCCTAGGCTGGGCTCACACTAAATCTTTCTGCCTCAGCCTCTTGAGTAGCTGGGTTTATGGGCATGTGCCCCCATACCTGGCTCGATTTGTTGTTACTTGGGGATTTGGAGAGACTAGAAAATGATATCGCTGTTGCCATGATCCCAGCATCTTCTCGATCCTAATGATATGTTCTTAAAAATTACAGCGGAGAGTATGGTCCTCATACATCCAGAAAGAAGATGGCTCCAGACGCAGCCCACTGTGTCGCAGCTCTTAGCAGATCATCTGCTGCAGCTCCCGGTGGTCAGGTATGAAAAGCACCCATTTGAAATTCAGAGTAGGTGGCAGCTCGCAGATATTAAGTAGGAAGTAGATCCAATTGTCTAGTAATATTTTTTTTTGAGACAAGATCTTACTATGCAGTTTGGGCTGGTCTTTAACTCACTAAAAGCCCAGGCTAACCTCAAATTTGCAATGATGCTCCTGTTTCAGCCTCCCAAGTGCTGGGAATTTAGTAATTTTTAATGCCTTCTTATAGGGTTTATATAATTAAATGTTTAAATATATCCCAGAATATTACTCATTCCAGTTAAAATAAGTAGCTCAAAAGTACAAATAGTGGGTTTATTTTACATTGAGTATGAATACAAATTAAAATTTCCACATTGATTATTATATTCAAGGATTAGAAATATTCATTGAAAATAGCTACTTTTTTAAACAAATCTGAAAATCAGCCAAAAGCAACATCCACTTCAACCAGCTTGTGAATAGCTTTTTGAGTGAGCCAAAATACTTGAGTGCAAATTCTTAATTAACCAAGGAATAAAATATCTGGCAAAATAATGCACTAACAATGTAGTGAACTAACAAATGATAGAATTTTAAAAAGAAAGAAAGACATCTTTCTATAGTGACAAAAAATAACTATAACACAAGATGAAAATAACCTAAAAGCAAACAGAACATGTCATTAATAGAGTCCTCCATTATCTAGTGCTGCCCGCAGTGAAGAACCCGGCAAGTGTAATTCTGTTATCTTACCATAGGCAGCGTGCACCCCCTGTAAAATCCATCTCTTCATTTTCTGGTTGAAAAGATTATTGTAGAAAAGGCCTGCCAGGGATTGGAGGTCATGCTGATTTATTGGCAATTAAACCTGCAGGATTTCTGCACTCCGTTCAAAACAAAGTATTTGCGCTATTCAGCCAGGATGATTACGTAGTGGGCTATCTACTGAAACCCAGGAGTCTTTCTGTTACTGCACAACAGATACAACTGACATGGCTGTATTTAGAAAATTACTGCTATTTCTGTGAGGATTCTTGTATCTTCTTCAAATCGCCTCGACCCAAAGAATTACCTGTTAGTCAATTTAACAAAGTAGAATCTTACCAAGTGGTATATAATTCAGCTCGGAAGCATAAGAACCTTAGTAAAAATATAAACATGAACTCAAGGAAAATGGATGCATTAGTGAGTCTATAGGCGGTGTCCACAGGGCCTCGGCCCCGCTGTCTGCACTGATGGCTGGCTTGGATTGGTGCGTTAGCACTAGATATTCATTTAAGTAGCTTTTATGTACGCCATGCCTCACCACAACCCAAGAATCTCAGCTTAGCTGTTTAGGTCGTGTATGTCATTTATACACAAACTGGTCCTACAGATTTCCTACAGATGGTGGCAGGCTTAGGGGGTCAGGATGATGGAATCTCGAAACACAGGGGGGTGGGAAGAGAAGAAATTGGAAACAGGTTGGGTAAGGATGGAGCAAAGGGACCGAGTCAGCAACCGCACCTGTCAGGATGAATGCGATCGCACCTGAGTTAGTCCTCCTTGGACGCAGGGATGTACCATGGCATCTGCGCCCCACTCCACAGGACCATCTGCCTCAGCACAGCCTGCCTGCCTCATTCCCAGCATTTCTCTCCTTCAGAGGCCGGTGTGGCTAAGAGCTCACTGACCCTCATGTCCACTGTTTCATTCACTAAATATTAATTGGGACTTTAGTATGTGCTGAGTAGTGTATATATGTATATATTTAACATGCGGTATTTTATGTCATTGCAATGGACTGGGTTTGTTTTTTGTTTTGTTGCTTTAATTTACAATTTTTTTTTTTTTTTTTTTTTTTTTTTTGGTATCGGGGATTGAACTCACAGCCTCGTGATTGCAAGGCAGGCGCTTATGCCGCTGAGCTAAATCCGCGGCCCAATTTACAAAATTTTAAACAGGACTGAGGATATAGCTCAGTGACACAGCACCTGCTTGGCAATACAAGGTTCTGAGTTATAAATAAATAAAATAAAATTTTAAGAAAAGATGATATATTTATTTTAGAAGATATCGAAAAGTGTATAGAAAAAATTTGAATCCACATGTAAACCCAAAAGTACTGCTTATCTTCTCAGTTTTTTAAAAAATCTCTTCTATTGTTTTTAAATTGAACTATTTCAGACACACAAAATATTACAAATCAATAAAACCAAATATCCAGTGCTGGGCATGGAGACATATGCCTGTAATTCCATTACAAAATTTTACATAAATACCTCTCACCGTCAGTAAGACCCAGTGTGACATCATTCTCCACATCAAGATAAACACTTACAGTGGCAAAGCTCTTGGGAAGGAATCAGTCCTTTCTGAGTTCCTCAACTGAAAAAATGATGGGAAGGCCTCAGTCATATTTTAAAAGATCAAAATACAGCCATCCTAGATCACGGCAGCACTTAAGTACCTAGAGACAAAGAAAAGAGGACTCATTCATTAGGAAGTGTGAGAAATGTCTTAGGGTTGATTTTATTTAAATGCCAACATGAGGTGATCATTAGCATCTGCGAGAGCTATGCAAATAACACCACCTGAGGGGCAAAACCAACAAGGGATTGTTTCAGAGCAATTAATTCACTTCCAAGCTCCTTGTATTAACACCACCTTATTTCCCTAGCGTAGCCAGACAATTTGTTTTAAAAATCAACCAAAAAACTGTGATATTCTGCCAACAAGATTACAGGGGTGAAAGAGCAACCCCCGGTCAAATGCAAATTGTAGCCATGTTAGTATGCTAATGAGGTCAGTGATAAACTGAGGGTCAAATTCCCCTTCTTCATTTTAAATAGCACTTGAAAGGACTCCATTTCTAAGTGTTTTCTAAACCTAGGAGCAGCAGCAATTAAGGCTTGTTATGCGCACCTTATCTGCACATAATCTGTTCAACAATATGAAAAATTAATAGACGGGACTGAGCTAAAATGAGGCGTAATTTTGCGTAGTAATTTACGAGTTATGGGGAAATGTGGCTTAAGAGAGACATATTTAACCATTCTAAATCGGGAGCAAAATCTTTTAGAAATTTCTTGCGTTGCAATTTCAAATGTTATGTCTAGTTGAAGAAAATTTAAGGGGGAAGCCATGGAGGAAAATAGTGGAATGATATATTTTCACAAGAAGGAAGTAGAGTGCTCGATTAGGCTGCACATGTACTAAAATTGGAATGAACCAGAGAAGATTAGCGTGGATCACGGCAAGGGTGACACGCAAATTTGTAAAGTATTCTATATTTAAAAAAAGGAAGTAGATGACACATTTAGGGATCTTTATTGACCACTTATCAGAGAAGGCTTTCTTTAATGAATCTTCTTGGGCTTCATGCTTGACATTTGTAAAACAGAGTTGATAGAGCTTGAAGTTCAAGGCTGTCGTTTCAACCTTGGCTGCAGGGCACAAACAGCTGAGATTCCAAGTGGTGGTGCATGCTTGTGCTCCCAGTGCTCAGGAGGTTGGGGCTGGAGGGTCTGAAGTTTGAGCCTAGACTGGACAATTTAGTGTTCCCCTATCTCAAAATAAAAAATTAAAAGGGCCCAGGATGTAGTTTGGTGTCACAAACAAAATAATAGAATTATGGGGGAACTTTGCACAAACAGATTATCATGCCTTTAAGTTTGTCACTGACAAGCACAGGGAATCTGAAACCTCAGGTGATTGTAGTATTTAGATGAGGTTAAGAACACATTTGTGGACAGCTTCTACGATCACTCCCAGGATCCCCACTGCCTGGGATCCATGCCCTTGTGTAACAGTCTCCTAGCGGAGGTAAGCTGGAGTATCTTCCTCCTTAATGACCAGAATGCCACAGAAGTGATGAGATGTCACTTCTGAGATCAGGTTATAGAAAGGCCAAGGGCCCCAACTTGGTTGTTCTCATTGATCTCATGGTTTCAAACCCCATTGCCCCATTTATAGGCAGCTCTATGAAGGGTCCATAGGGCAAGGAGCTGAAGTCTCTGGCCAGTGGGACCAGCACCTGAGGGCTCATAGGAAGCTGATGTCTTTCTGTGCCATCCAGGCTTCAGATGGAGCTGCAGCCCCAGTGGACACCTTGACTGCAACCTCAAGAGAGCCTGAGCCAGTGGCCCAGTGAAGCAGAATCCAATCCCCATTATGTTTTCTTGAGACAGGGTATTCCTGTATAGTTCAGGCTGGCCTTAAACTTACTATATAGCCTCAAACTTACTGAGATTGTTTTTTGAGACAGTTTTACTATGTAATTCAGACTAGTCTTGAACATTTTACATAGTCCAGGCTGACCTTGAACACTGTGCGTTTTATTTTAGTTTTTGATAGAGTCTCACTGTGTAGTTCCTGCTGGCCTTGAACTTACTAGGTAGTCCAGGATGGCCTTGGACTCATGAAGATTTTAGTGCCTCACCCCTCCAGTGTTAAAATTATAGACGCATGCCACCATGCTCAGCTGACCTTGAACTCTTGTTTGTTTCATCTTTCCTCTGCTCCCCAAAGTATGTGTCTTTAGAAAAAAAATTTCAATTTTCTAAACTTACACAATCGTCCCTGCATTCCTTAATTCTTATCTAATGGTGGAGTTACAGTAGATGCATCTCAGTCTTTCTGTGCTGCTATAATGAAATATTACACACTGGGTAATTCATGAGGAACAGAAATTTATTTCCCACAGTTCTGGAGGCTGGAGGCTCAGTTACTTTTCTCTTATTGCTGAGACAAAATACCTGCACCCAAAGGTAAAGGAGAGAGGGTTTATTTAGCACAGTTTGTGGGTGTCTGAGTCCATAATCAGCAGGCTCCAAGGCAGGGTGGCACATGGCAGAGGGGAACCTTTCATGGCAGTGGAAGGCAGCAAAAGCACCAAGCAAAGAGAGAAATGAGCCTCTTCCTGGCCCTTTTGTCTTATCCCAGCTGCTGGAGTAAAGGTACCAGTCTAACCAGTGGACTGGTCCAGCATTAAACCATGAACCCATCACAAACTCTAGATTCAGGTAACTCTGAAAAAAAGTCCCATTTATTTATTTCTTTTTAAAATTTTATTTTAAAGAGAAAAAAACAATAAAAACAAAAATACAGAATTTCAAAAACAAGATAATAGGAAATTTACAACAGTTAATATAATGAGCATTGTTATCTTCAAAGTAGTTGTTCAGATTACAAGATATAGGCATGCATAATTGATCAAACAATGTAAGCAAAACCGTTTTCTTCAATGAAATAAAGAGAAATTAGTAGTATAGTTACCTTAGTATCTTGTGTATATGTATATATTTTTTTCTTTCCCTTTTCTCCTTTCCTCCATCCCAATTGTTCTTTTCTTTTGAGCAGATTCTTCCCCTTTCACAATATCTATTAAGTATTTTGTATACTATTAACTCTTTGAGCTTCTTACACTAGGAAAACACATGCACATCTGATTTATTTCACTTATTGGTATGGTCTCTAGGTGCATCCATTTACCTATAAAAGCCTTGAGTTTATCCTTCTTTATAGCTGAGTAGTATTCCATAATATAGAAATACTACATCTTTTTATCTGTTCCTTGGTTGATGAGCATTTGAGTTGTTTCTAACATTTAGCTGTTATAAATCGTGCTGCTATAAATATGGATGCACATATATCACTGTGCTATGATGTTTTTAATTCATCTGGGAAAATACCCAGAAGAGAAATAGTTGGGTTGAATGAGACCTCTAATCCCAGTTGCTTGAGGAATCTCCACACTGATTTCCACAGTGGCTGCACCAATCTACACTCCCATCAATAGTGGAGAAGGATTCCTTTTTCCCCACAGTCCAGTATTTGTTATTGGTTGATTTCTTTCTTTCTTTCTTTTTTTGTCTTTTTCCTTTTAATCGGTACCGGGGACCGAACTCACGACTGTCTGCTTGCAAGGCAGGCGCTTATGCCACTGAGCTAAATTCCCCGCCCCCATTGGTTGATTTCTTGATAACAGCCGTTCTTTCTGGAGTAAGATGGAATCTCAGTGTTTTAATTTAAATGACCAGTGATGTCGAGCACTTTTTCACGTATTTATTTGCCACTTGTATTTTTTCATCCAAAAACTGTGTATTCATCTCAGATGTGCATTTTGGACTGAGTCATTGAGTTTTTAAAAGTCTTATTTTTTTTCAGTTTTTATATGTTCTACATAGAAGTCCTTTGTCTGACTTTTTAAAAGGAAAAATATTTTTAGAATTTTCCTTTTAGAGAAAGTTTCCTATTCAGATGAATTCACGTGTTCATTATATTATTGATCTTGAAGAATACTGGCCTGGCACTAGAGTCCATACCTGTAGTCCTGGCTCCTCAGAAGACAGAGGCAGGAGAATCATTTGAGCCCAGGATTTTCAGGCCACTCTAAGCAACATAGTAGGACCCTGTCTTTTAGAAGAAAGATATAGGACAGAGGGAGAGAGAGAAGGAGAATGAGATGAAGTGTGGGAGAGGCTGATCTCAAAGATTTCAGGGGGAAAAGTAAGAAAGGTGGATTAGCTTTAGCTTTCCTTTTTCTGGACACAATACTTGCAACTTAAAGCACGAGAGGTGTAATTTAGCTCATGATTTCAGGGTATTCAGTCCCTAGGATACTGACTCCAAGTCAGGAACCTCATGGCAGGAGGACATAGCAAAGCAAAGTTATTTAGAGCACAGAACTGGGAAACAGGGCAGAGGAACAGTACCAGAAAAAAAGGAGCCAAGGACCACATGTAGGGGTCACACCTCCATGACCTATCTGGACATTCCCAGAAATGTGCTCCTCTAATCTCCTGGCAGACCCCAAGCCAATCAAATTAATACAACCAAGCTCAACCATCCCCAAGGGAAATAGGGTAGTCACTCTTTGTGGTTTACCTGTGAAAATGACTTAGTTCCTCATTCCCTTGATTTCTGCATCTCCATCTCTAAAGTTCAACTAGGAGAATTTCCTTGGCTTGGATTTGCAATGGTGTACAACTCCACGGGCCAGCCAGTTGTCCATCCATGACCACCTTGCCTGAGTCCAGGGAAGGGTGGGGCTACATACTACAAAGAGCCACCCAAAGTTTCTGATACAACGGAACCAAGTGTCAGAACTCTTTGAAGAGTCCAGGCATGGTGGCACATGCCTGTGATCCTAGTACTTGGTAGGCTGAAACAGGAGTATTACTGAGAGTTTGTGGCCAGCCTGGGCTACACAGCAAGACCAAGGCCAGCCTGAACTGCATATGAGGACTCCGCCTCAAAAATGAGCAAAACAGGCTGGGGATTTAGCTCAGCGGCATAAGCACCTGCCTTGCAAGCCGGCGGTCATGAGTTCGATCCCCGGTACCGATAAAAAGGAAAAAGACCAAAAAAAAAAAAAAAAATGAACAAAACAATAACAACAAAAACAATCTTTCAGAAGAAAAGGTGGGTGAAATAATGCATCTCTAATACACTGGTTATGTTTTAAATCATGAATTAATGAATAGGCAAGAAGCATATGAGGCTGAGGATGGGCGCATGCTTGTTATCTGGGCACATGGGAGACTGAGGCTGGAGGGTCCAGACCAGCTTGGCCTATACAGGGAGTTCCACCCTGGCCTGGACTGCACAGCCAAACTCTGTCTCAAAAATGAAATAAAACTGAAATGTATTTAATTCCGTCACATATTTGCTGCTTAATGTGGTATTTGAACTTCTTTTGATTTTTTTTTTGTTTGTTTTTTGTTTATTGGCCTTTTTCTTTTTTAGAGAAAAGGTCTCACTGTGCAGTTCAGGCCGACCTTGAACTCACTTTGTAGTCCAGACGAGGCTTGATTTCATGGCAATCCTCCTGCCTCAGCCTCCTGAGTGATGGGATTACAGGCATGTGCCACCATGCCTGGCTTGAGCTTCTTAATTCATTTGGGGAAAGAAGAAAACATAGGTCTGCCCCTGGAGCAAAAGCCCCACGTGGAGCAGCAATTTGCAAGATACTCAATGTATTTCTCCATTAAAGTGTAACAAAGACACCCCAAAAGGCCAGATTAGCTGAATCAAGGTCAGTGTGTTTTCTTTTAGGGAAAAGTATATCTTTTGGTGAAAGTATATCTTAAAAGAATATTAAAATGTAGTGTGTGTTGGTAAGAAAATAAAGTCAATAATACTCTGGACTTGTTCAAGGTGACACCGCCATTGGCTGGATTATATACCTAGCTATTTCCCAAACAATTCAGAGCCTTTGGAAGAATCCTGCCTGGACCTTTCTCACCCAGGGCCATGTTTCTACTCTACCACATCCTCCCCAGCCATGGCAAACT